GGTTTCATTCTATTAGAGATTTATCAAACAACTCAAGATCCTAAATATCTGTATAGAGCTTTAAAGGTTAGTTAGTGTTCAATGCGTTTGAAGTGTATAAATACATTTTGTCTTTTGTTTTTCGGACATGTATGTATGAATGTGTATTTGTATGCACACTGGTTGTGTTGTGTAGAGAATTTTGCGATGTATCTGCCTATGCCCCCACTGACTGCAGTTCAGACGATGTAAAAGATTAATTTTCCAGAAAGCTTTCGGACATCCTCCAAAAAGCTAGGCGCTGCGATGTAATAATAATGGCTGGTGACTTTAATGGTCAAGTAGGTAGACTGAGTGAGCAGGAGAAACCCCTTGGTGAATCTTATGGTGTCGCGTCTCAAAGAACAGACAATGGCGACCGTCTGTTGCAACTGTGCTCAGATAACCAACTATTTCTAGCAAACACTAATCTGCATAAGGAAAAACATCTTTTGACCTGGCGACCCCCGAAGTCGTCTCAACGTTGGGCGCAACTAGATCATATCGCCATCAGCCACCGATGGAGGGGTTCGATAGAGGACTGCCGCTCGTTCTGGGGCACATGTTTGGATTCAGATCATGCCCTAGTGCGAGCTCGTACTTGTTTGAGGCTTACTGGACGTAGGAAAGACACCGTAAACAAGCCTCTTAGGGCTTTACTTCATGATAATCAAGCTAAGAAAATATTTCAGGAGGAACTAGAAAAACAGTTAGGTGACCAAACAAGTGATTCCCATTCGGAGTCAGGTTGGAATGATATCAAGAAGGCTGTGAAAACAGCAGTGACATCTGCTAGTAAAGTAAACCATGAGGCTAGGATGAAGCCGTGGATCTCAATAGTATCTACCGAACTTATGGATGCTCGAAAACGCATCCCACCTGACTCTGAACATGATGAAGAGCGTAGTCAGCTTAGGCGCAGACTGATAAAAAGCCTACGCAATGATCGAGAACAGTGGTGGGTGGAGAAATCGAGAGATATGGAAAAGGCGGCGGCGATAGGCAACACTAGACAACTTTTCCGCCTTATTAAAGAAACCGGTATTAGGAACCCGAATGTGAGTGAGACTATCTCGGAAAAGGATGGTCTTATTATCCATTCTCAATCCAGGAGACTGGACCGATGGGCAGAACGCTTTAGGGATCAGTTCAACTGGCCTCGAGCCACATCTTCGGTTGCCCACGATCTCCAGTCATCCTGAATGGCCGATCGGTTTAAGTCCTCCCCTTCTACATGAAGTTGAGAAAGTTATAGGAAATCTAAGGGGAGGTAGAGCAGCAGGTCCTGATAGGCTTACCCCTGAGATGTTTAAGGATGGTGGTCCAGTTTTAACAGTTAGACTGACCGAGATCCTAGGTAGAATCTGGGAACTGGACGTAATCCCATCTGACTGGTCTCAGTCGCTGATTGTCCCAATCTACAAGAAAGGACAAAAGTCCTCTTGTGACAATCACAGGGGAATCAGTTTAACTAATATAGTTTCTAAATTGTTAGCCTCGAATATACTTAGACGTCTAACTAGAGCTCGTGAAGAGCAGACTAGAGAAATCTAGGCTGGTTTCAGACCTGGACGTGGCTGTATAGACCACATTTTCACACTACGACAGGTCCTGGAACACAGACACACATTTAGACGTCCGACAATAGTCGTGTTCCTGGACCTGAAAGCGGCATTTGACTCTGTTGATCGTGAGGTTCTGTGGCAGTGTCTGTCATCAAAAGGTGTATCAAAGAAGTACATTATCCTTATACAAGCTCTCTACTCGAACACCACTGGTCGAGTGAGAGCTTATGGCGAACTGTCATCGGAATTATTCACTTTAAGTGGTGTCCGTCAGGGCTGTCCACTCTCTCCATTCTTGTTTAACTTTGTCGTAGACATCCTCTTAGAGTTAACATTAAGCTCGTCAGATTTCTCAGGGGTTGACCTTCTACCAGGAAAGTCGCTTACTGATCTAGAATATGCTGATGACATAGTTCTATTCGGTGAAGACGCTGACACAACGCACAGTCTTCTGACTACCATAAGCAACAATGCAAGCATGTTCGGGATGCAGTTTTCCCCCTCGAAATGCAAAATGTTGCTTCAAGACTGGGTTGCATCGGCACCTGAACTAGTGATAGGGAGTGAAGTAGTTGAGCGTGTAGACCGCTTCACTTATCGTGGGAGTCTCATCAGTGCTAATAGCCTGGTAACTGACGAAATCTCAGCGCGGATACAGAAGGCTCGATTGGCTTTTGCCAACCTGCGTCACTTATGGCGTAGGCGTAATATCCGTTCGCTAACCAAAGGGCGGGTGTACTGCGCAACAGTTCGCTCTGTCCTACTATACGGATGCGAAACATGGCCGTTAAGGGTAGAAGATGTTCGTAGGTTACTAGTATTCTATCATAGATGTCTGAGAAGCATTGCTCGTATACCGTGGGACAACCGAGTAAGCAATGCTGTCGTTCGGAAACGGGTGCTAGGTAAGGATGGCAGATCGATAGATGAGTCATGTTGGTAGATGTAGACTACCTGGTTAGGTTCCGCGAGACGAAAGTCACTTATGGTTAGAGACCTTGAAAGACATGGCTCAAAATCGTTTGCAATGGCGCAAGTGCGTCCATTCTTGGAGCTCTCTCAATTCCTAATCTTCTGGATTCGTCAACACCTCTACCTTTGTCTTTATAACCTTTTCTGACTGAATTGTAGTTTTTGAATAATATCTTCGAACCCTAGTCTTCTTCATTACCATTAATACCTTTACTATCTTTATCACTATGGGATTTGACTTGACATTTGCGTCTCTGTGCTAATGTGGTATGGCAACATGAACTTATGTACTTGCGTACGAAGTTCTACGTTGCAACTCACTGACTGACTGACTTTGCGATGTTCTGTGATATTTGCTCTGTTACATGTGTCCAGTTTGAGACACATCCTAGTATTTCACTCGAAATCCCCATGTTTCTGTACACTATTGCGTGTTTTTGATGAATGAAGTGTAAATTCATTTTCTGTCACACTAGTTTCTAATGAAATTGTCATTTGATCAAGGAACGTGGTGTATGTGTGTACATTACCCTACAATCGTCATACTTTTATATTTTAAAGTATGAATGGATGTAATTTGTGAAGTTATTTGTGTATATTTTTGGATAGATGACACTTAGTCTATGATCTGTTCACCCAGAGGTTGAAACCCCGTTGAACTGTTCAGTTTGGGTAGTACTGTGTTTCATACAGTACACAAAGAAGATATGTATTATGCATTTAGTTTAATGAATAAACCTACCTGTGATTACTGCTACTCAATCATTCGATGGACTGGAGGTTATATTTGTGTGAAATTATAAGGAAATATCGATTTGCCAATGTACGGGGTTTGATTTCTATGTTCGAATATGATAAATTCTCCTTATTATTCGCACTACTTATTTACCACTTTCAAGGTCAGCATTTCCCTGTTTGATTTTAATGGTCATTAGTTATCACCGACACTTTCAATCTGGAAGCAGTTAGTAGCTAAGCTACTCAGTTATCTGACGCAACTGCTTCAATTAATCCAAAGTATTGCAACGTTGAATCAGTATGTTCAACTGCTCTCGTTGGACGTCAGCATCATTGTGTTCGGTTAAGTCTGTGTACGAAAGCCAGCATTAAATCGTTTTCCTTCCAGTGTTTTTGTTGACATTTCAATGGACAGATCAATAACTGCAATCAATATCCGTTTTACGTGATATCTAGCTATTCCAAACGTTTGTGGAGATTTACGTAGCCATCAGAATAAATAACTAGGCGATTAAAATCGAAAACTCATTATTGTTTGTTGCTTTTACGTTTGTTCTTTAGTTCGCTGAATGGTGTACCGACTGTTTTAAAAATGCGAACCGTGTCGCTGATCGTCCGTACTCACTTATGGAAGGTTTGTATAGTGTTTTGCCATTTGTTTCTGGTATACTATCATATCAGTTTATCATCTCAGTTTTCATTTCGATACTAACATATACAAAGTGTAAGCACGGAACAAATACGTCAGTCGTGAGGATTTCGTAACTGCTTTCAACTTTTTGCGTTAGGTGAATCTGCATTATATGTGGAGTATCGATTGATTTTGACCTGTAACTCAAAATTAAAGACGGCAGGCTGGTAGGTCTTGGTTGTGTGTATGGAGTGCGCACAACAACTACAGTCGGTGGTTGGAGATTGGTTGCGATGGCTCAGAATCAGCGGTGGTGGTGGCTCATGTACTTTCACTATCATGATGTGTCCTCCAGAACTTAAGTTGTACTATTTCTTCGTACTCACTTTCTCACTGTCTTCTACGACCATATCCTCAATGCTTGATCGTTCTTACTATCATCGTTACAACATGCATGCAACTGATTTTCTATTGATCTTGTTAATTTTATCTCATTGAACTGATGTGGTATTGAAGTTTGGGCTAGCACATTTCTGTGCCAGGCTTCCTGTTGACCATGACTGACTGTTTGATTGCTGATGACCTTGATCTTGGAGTTGAGCAGAGTTGCCTGTTAATTCTTACAGTGTTGTTCGTTGTCGGCGTGAAAATCTGAGTAGACTCGGTTTAAGGCGGATGTTTTGTTACTCCTTTTCTTTGCGTTGATGTTCCAGATAATCGTCTGTAAAAGTGTGAGTTGTTCTTCCAATCAGACTCAGCGTTCCTCACTTTACTTTAGAAACGAAAGCTACTGAGCTTGAATGTCATCCGTCGTCAATAACAGTAGTGACCAATTAGTTTACGGGCCTGATGTAGAGTTATGAACAGTAGACGCCATCACCACACTACTCAACTGCTATCCTTGTTATAACTACTATTCCTATCAATCGTAATGAAATAAACTATTCGCTTTTTGCATTTTTAACATAAAATATTGACCATTGTTTAAATATCCGAATGAAAAGTATTGACTATTTTGAAAATGTGGCTAGTTCACCATAACGGTTATTTAATTTGTTTTCAACTTATGTGTGTAGGTCTTGCTGGAACATTGTACTTCCTGGTTGGTATTTTGGATGCAGTTAATTCAAAGTTTCCTCTACTAAGTGGATTGTGAACAGACAGGAATGAGAATTCAATTTCTATATTCAACAAATATTATCTATCGTTTATGACTCATATACACTCGCCCATCGTTTCCATAGTTTATGAGAATGTGACTTGAAGAAGTGGAATGTTAACTAACTCGTATTTCTTTTTATGAGATAATATATTCAATGAGATTTGTGTTATATGGTGTGCCCAGTATAATCCCGTTTGTAAACTTGACATTTCAATGCACACTGTATATGCTTAACTGTGTTGATTGTCTGAAGATTCGGTGACTGGTCGATCGTATTGGTGTTTCGTTAGTTGAGTAGGGTGTCAAGTAGTGAATATGTGCAGAAGAGGTGGATGATTGCATAGATATAGTGAAAACATTGCTGTTCGTAACGATGTGTGATGTTGACGAGACTGCACTGACTGTGTTATACTTCTCTGTTTATTACAACCCAGCTATTCCTAATGCTTAGTATTCTCGGACACCGTTTCACTCGAGGCGTTCTCCCAAATCAGAACACGGTTGAACAGGGAATAGATTATATTCCAGTGATAGTTGGTTAGCATGACGTACCCAAACTTCTGAGCCAACTGAAAGCTCATAAGTCACACTGGCTTTTTTTTCAAGATGCCACCAGCTGTCCATGTAGGATATTTTCCACGATAGTCCATAGCAAGTACTTTTTGACCCACCATAAACAATCGTCTTTGTGCCCTATGATGTCGATGGAACTGCTTCTCCATCTGTGGGTTTCGTTGAGGCTCAAGAGGTGGAGCAGGACGGACGACATAGAAATGTGTTGGTATTTTTCTGCCATGTAGAGCTTCTGTTGGAGAGACCTCGTTAATCGTCTGGGACATGCTTCATTCTATGTCCCGCTAACAGACTTTGTTTGATATTGCCAGTTGTATTTTTGTTTCTATTGGACATTGATACGTAAATCACAAGAGTGGATTTCGCTGATTTGAAAAGATCATTGTTCCACCGACACGGTGTTTTTTGAATGTAGTGATGTAGAATTTGACTTTCCACTAAATCAACCTGTCGACAACTTATGATTAGTACTTTGAACGCCACTTGTTTCAAATCAGATTATGCATGTAATAAACTGTGATTGTTTACTTTTTTATGCTGGGGTGTCTTTAAGGTATTCAATCTAGTGAGAACCTCGTTGCCTGGTTTTCTCTAGTCTGCTCTTCACAAGCACTACTTGGTCGTCTAGGTATAATCGAAGCTAATAATTTAGCAACTGTATTAGTTGGACTTATTCCCGTGTTTGTCATAGGAAGACTTTTATCCTTTCTTATAAATTAGGACAATTAGGGATTGAGACCAGGCGGATGTGATTGTGTCCAGTTCCCAGATTCTACCAAAGATTTCAGTCAATCTAGCTGCTGAAACTAGACCACTAATATTAAAAATCTCATGAGTCAATCTATCGGTTCCTGCTACTCTCCTTCGTTTCAGATTTCCTATAGCCTTTTCAACTTCATAACGGATCGTAGGGCTTACGTCGACTTGCCATTCAGGATGACTGGAGATCGTGGGTAACCGGTGTGCCAGAAGGCCAGTTGAACTGATCCCTAAAGTGTTCTGCACATCGATCCAGTCTCCTGGATTGAGAATAAGTAATAGGACCATCCTTTCCCGAAATAGTCTCACTAACATTCGGGTTCCTAATACCAGTTTCCTTGATGAGCCTGAATAACTGCCTACTGTTGCCTATCGCCGCTGCTTTTTCCATCTCTCTCGCTTTCGCTACCCACCACTGTTCACGATCATTGCGTAGGCTTCTAATCACAGCCTGCACTTAAGCTGACTTCGCTCCTCGTTATGTTCAGAGCCAGGAGAGATGAGTTCTTGAACAGATATCACCACTGCTTCTACAGATTTTAGGATATCGTTCCAAACCCCCTCGTGGTGGGAATCACTTACGTGGCCGCCTAACTGTTTTTCTGCTTGTTCCTGATATATATACTTAGCAATGCTATCAGTAGGTAGAACCTTTCCTTGCACTATCTACCCTACGTCCAGTAAGCCACAAACAAATACGCGCTCGCACTAGACTTTGAATCTCAATCTAGACATATGCCCCAGAATGAGTGGCGGTCTTCAATAGAGCCTCTCCATCAATGGCTGATAGCGATATGATCTATTTTTGGGTCCATCGTTGGATCGGCTTTGGGAGTCGCCAGGTCAAGAGATGTTTTTCCTCATGCTTAAAGTTACTATTGGCTAGAAATAGGCGGTTATCTGAGCATAGCTGTAGCAGACGTTTGCCATTATCTGTTTTTTGAGCCGCGAAACTATAAGATCTAACCAGGTGTCTTTCCTTTTCACTGAGTCTACCTACTTGAGCACTGAGGTCACCAGCCATTATTACTACATCTGTGTGCCTAAAGTTTTGGAGGAGGTCCGAAAGCTTTCTGCAGAACGCACCTTTCACCTCGTCTGAACTGCAGTCAGTGGGGGCGTAGGCTGATATAATGAAAACGCAACGACGGGTGTCCCTATTCCTTTCGAATCCTTGCTGTCCCGTTTTGTCGGACGGCGCGCAAACGACTGTCTACAGGGATCCAGTCAAGGAGCGCTAGTTCTGCCCTACGACTCAATGGTATATCTACACCAGCGAGACTCCGGGAAGCAGCAGCACAGCTTTGAGAAACTCGAAGCGTAAACCGAGTTAGACAAGAAGAAATCAAATTAATGAATTTAATTGAATCTTTCAGGTGCGTTTCGAAGATGCAACATACATTGATGATACGGAATTCATAAGTCCTAGCTAAGCAAGCCTGCTGCCAATTTGACAAAAGTATCAAACATCCAATATGTACTTTAGAACATGGTTCCAGGAAACCGGGAATGACGTTTATTGAACTCGTGTCTTTTGAATTAGTGGTGCAGAGTGATAAAGTAATGTTAGTCGTCACCACTCCTTTTGTTTGATTGAATACCCAATTACTCATTACACCTCTAAATCTTTGCAAACAGGACACAACTCCCACAAGTTACTTCCAAAGAAGATTTGTCCCAGGCATTGGAAGTTCCAGACTGACTGAGCATGTAAGTAACTCCAACAGATGGATTAAGGATGAAAATCCTTCAAACCTGGATTATTTGCCAACGAATGACCAGCTTCTTGTCGAAGTGGTAGAAGAAACTTCCGGACAAAGCTAACAGCCAAAATACAGGCAAATCCAAAGTATTCTTTTAGGTTTACAACTAAAAGAAAATCTATGAACTCAGGTATCTGTGCACTCAAAGGTCCAAATGGCACAGACCTTCACCGACCAGTTAAACAAGGTGCCTGCTAGTTCGGGTTACCACTCAGATCTAATGCCGGCTGATGACCTAGGTAATATCTAACTTGTTCCTGACTAAGCATTACAAAATCTCAAATCCCTGAACCCACGAACGTCACCAGGGTGTGATAATATCCACCCTATATTTTTGAAACTGTGTGCAAGCACTCAGTTCACCGTTATTCGACCTGATTAGGCATACACTTGGACCGACCCATCCCCCACCTTAATGGAAACAACTACTCTCTCTCTAGTCTTCACATATCGCAACAGGAAAGATGAAGCCTGTTACAAAACAGTCGCATTACTACCAATACTATTGAAAGTAGTGGAAGGAGTGGTGAATGAGCGAATGTGGGGGTAGATAGATAGGGACAAGATACTCCATGAAGCTCAACACTCGTTTAGGGAATATAGGCCGTGTGCACCAAATCTTCTCATAGCATTGGATAGTCGGACAACATGCTGTGACCGGAAAACTCCTGTTCACATAGTATTTCTTGACTTTTCAAAAGTCTGTCTAATTGAGAGAGTTTTGAAGACTCAAATCCTTCGATCGCTCAGAGAGACCAGCAGCTAAATATGTGATGTGTTTTATCGATAACCCTTATGAGTCATAAAACAATACTTGTGATTATCCTCGTTGAGTCACCGGAGCATCAGAAGTCATCTGGCAATGGCACACAGCATATTCAGTACGCCGAATCCTCCAAACATGATCATTTTGCCAGAACATCCCCATGCCCCTCTAGGTAACCCTCGATAGAGCTAACACACAGGTATGTGGTCACTCCTCCCCATTAACAGTTGTTGCAATTAGGAATGCTCTCTCAGCCGATCTCCTCATATGGGACGCGATAAACACCTTATCATATACGGATAATCACCCCACTCATGAACCCGTTGTGCATGATGCATGTCTCTAGACTTGCTAGTTTTTCCTACAGTCATTTCCTCCGATCATCTACTCTTTCTATCTGCCTGATAATGTAATAGCTGTCGGTATCCGGAAACCGTACCATACTGAGACGAATGCATTCAAGCAAATCATGGAACATACAAACGAATAAAGAACTGCCAACTAACCAACAATCTAGTGGCTAGACTAGCATCCATTGGATAGAATCAAATTCTTGAAAACGTACTGAGAGAACAAGAACCCAGCGCAGAAAAACCAGTTGTTTATACAAGCTCGTTAAATAGATATTGTATGTAAAGTATATTGGAGAACGCACTCGAATGTGTACGCTACCAGCTGCCAGTACAATATCCAATATCTTTTTCACGAGCTAGTGTAAGCCAATCTGAATTCTTCGCGCTCGATTCTTGTTCTTTCGGTACGGTTCCAGCTGTTCGGTAATGTCCAACGGGTTTGGGTCTAGCCATTCGACTGTCTAATTCTAGTCAGTTGGCAGTTGGTTGTGAGTTTGTATGTCTCGGGATTTGAATGAAACGTTTGTTTCATTGAAGTAGGGTTTCTGGATTCCAACAGCCGTCACATTACCAAACCGGAGATCAGTTAGTTGCAATGTGGAGAGTAATAAGGATAATAAGGATAAAATTCTAATGATAATATGAATAAAATTTCAGAACTGAGTAATATATAGATGAATTTAGTTTGTTAATTGGTAGTGAAGATTGTGAGAGAGGACCGAAGTGTAAGCAAGGGAGAGGAAACAAAGATAATTGGCGAGATAAAATAATTGTGTGATCTGAGGAGATGGCAATGAGAACAACTAGCAGGTCTCAAGATATGCATCATGAACAGCCTGTCCAAGAGGGAGATGATAGTCCGTATGTGAGTACGTGATTATCAAGTCTCTTTTTAAAGCAGTCCAGTGAGGGAGTTGTGGTTACCTCGGCTGGGAGAGCATTCCAAGTTGCGACGACTCGCAATGAGAAAAAGTGTGCACGAATCTGAGTATTCGCTCTTTGGTGTGCAATCTTTCGAGG